ACAGAGGGTCTGATTCCATGACCTCCACGGCTTCCACCGAGATGACACTGGCTGGAGACGGCTCGGTGCCCATCACATCGTCCTGGGGGCTGTTAATAGTATTCATAAAATCATCACCGTCTTCTCTGGTTGGAGTCCACCCCCCCCGCTGTCTGATTTTCAGAGCCTCGGGCAGCTCTTAGACACAGCGTCCCACAACAAGAGGTAGTGAGCAGACCCGGGGTTCCCCATTAGCAGTGTGCAGGAGAAAGGGCCGGCTTCGTGGCATCTGGGTGACGCCCCAGGGCTTGTGAGCATGGGCTGTGGTCCCGGGCGGCGTGGGGGTCTGCTGCTATGGAGGCTGTCACCGGCGTGCGACCAGACGGGGCTGTAGAAGGCAGCGCTCAGAAGCCTGCTCGCCACGTGGCTGCATCCGGCACGGGTTAGTCCGGTCAGTGCAGCTGGTTCACCATCCAGGCCGGTGCTGCCGCAGACTTGTGGCGCTGCTTGAGGCTGGGGTGGGGGAGCCTCACCACTGGTTCTGGCCAACGAGTTGTGGGCAGGTGTGTTGTGCGTCACTCTGGGACAGAGCATGTAAACTCGCATGGTGGTGCTACAGTGAAGCCGCACCCCATGTTAGAGTGTGGTTTGAGTCCCGGCTACTCCGCTTCTTAATCAGTTTGCTTGCTGATGCACCTGGGAGGCTGCGGATGATGGCCCAGGCGACTGGGCCCCTGCACCCACGTGGGAGACCCTGATGGAGCTCCTGGCTCCCGGCTTCAGCCTGGCCCAGCCCTGGCTGTCGTGGCCATCTGGGGAGTGAACCAGCGGATGGAGGATCTCTCTCTCTCTCCCTCTCTGTAACACTGCCTCTCCAATGCATAAAATTAAAAGAATTTCAAAAATATTTGAGAAGAGAGAGTGTGCACATCCTCCCATCTGCTGGTTCCCTCCCCAGACGCCCGCAATGGCTGGCGCTGGAGTTGAGAGCCGGGAATCCAGGTGTCCCACGTGAGTGGCAGCTGCTGTTACCGCCGCCTCTTGGGGTCTGCACTTGGCAGCGGAGTGAGGAGTGGCGGCCGCTGTTGACCCAGGCAGGACCTCTGCTTTTGCCAGCATGGTGTAAAGCCGAGGGGGAAGCCACTCCGTGTCTGGCCTCTGAGGGCGGGGCTGAGCAGAAGCCCTTTTATTTCAAGCCGTTGAGAGATTGTTACCACACTATGGCCGTTATTACCCCTCGACTACATTCCCCCAAAGTCTGTTAGGAAATGTTTAAGTTTATTAATTTATGTGAAAGGCAGAGCAACAGAGAGAAAGAGCTATGGCTCACGTGTGTTGGGTCACTCTTCAAATGCCCTTAATGGCCAGGGCTGGGCCAGGGCTGGGCCAGGCTGGGGCTGGGAGCTCAGTCCCGGTCTCCCTCATGGGACACAGGGGCCCGAGTCGTTGCGCCATCATCTGCTGCCTCCCAGGGTGCGCATCGCGGGAAGGTGGAGTCAGGAGCCAGAGCCGTGACCCCAGGCCCTCTGCTGTGGGATGCCGGTGTTGGGCAGTGTCAGCCGCCAGGCCAGACGCCTGCCCCTCAAAGCTCTTCTCTCTGAACGGTCTTTGGCAGGACTTGGAGAACTGTGCGTCTTGGGAGGACAACGGCCATGGCTTTGTTCTGCCCGTCCACCTGTGTGCAAAGTCCTGCCTTCAGCGCTCTGCCTTCAAAGGTGTGTCTATTTATAGAAGTTCTCCTTTCCCTAAGTGCAAAGCAGTAAAAGTGACGCAAAAAGCAGACGAACCGCCACAGGTGGGTCCTTGCTGCCACACAAAATGTTCTAGAAATCGGGAGCCTGACCTCCTTTTTACCACCCCTGGAACGAAACAGGCATGGCATCCTTTGGCCAGGAGCTGATGAACACAGGCGCACTCAGCGCGCGTCTCCGAGGAAGCTCCCAGGCCTTGGAGGCCTCTGGCCGCTGGCAGGGCAGCTCTCGCAGGCCTGGCTTCCCTCTCCTGGAGACATCAGTGTGAGAATGGATGGCTGCCCCTCTGCTTCCCCAGGCCTCACGTCTGTATCTGGGCCACTTCGCGGGCCCATGGCCAGCATCTGGCTTCTGTTCCTCTGGCCGCCATGGAAGCTTTTGGAGCCAGAGAGCTCGCATTGCCTCCGTTACCTTCCACATCTGTGCCCAGGAAGTGGCACAGGAATCAAACCCAAGAACCCTCGTCGTGGCGGCGTAGCGGGCTGGTCGTGCCACTGTCTGGAACAGTGCCGCTGCACTGTGCTTCCAATCCAGGTTCCCGTTCATGAGTCTCAAAGGGAGTGGAGGAGGCCCAAGCACCGGGTCTCCGCCACCCAGGCGGGGCGCCTGCCTGCAGTTCCTGGCTCCTGGCTTCCGCCTGGCCCAGACCTGGCTGTTGCGGGCTACCTGGCAAGTGAACTGGTAGATGGAAGATCTCCTTCCTTTCTCACTAGGTCTGCCCTTTTTTTTTTTTTTTTTTTTGACAGGCAGAGTGGACAGTGAGAGAGACAGAGAGAGAGAAAGGTCTTCCTTTGCCGTTGGATCACCCTCCAATGGCCGCCGCTGCAGCCGGCGCACCGCGCTGATCCGATGGCAGGAGCCAGGATCCAGGTGCTTTTCCTGGTCTCCCATGGGGTGCAGGGCCCAAGCACCTGGGCCATCCTCCACTGCACTCCCTGGCCATAGCAGAGAGCTGGCCTGGAAGAGGGGCAACCGGGACAGAATCCGGCGCCCCAACCGGGACTAGAACCCGGTGTGCCGGCGCCGCAAGGTGGAGGATTAGCCTATTGAGCCACGGCGCCGGCTCTAGGTCTGCCTTTCAAATAAATAAACAAATCTTGCTAGAATTAAGAGCCATCCTGGAGTTTTTAAATACATCCCAGGTGCTGGCCACACTGCAGAGCCATCAGGTCAGAGCCCGTTGGGGCCGGCTCCGGCAGAGCGTATCTGAGTGGTCCCCGGGTGATCAGAAAGCGCGCCTAGATCCAGAACCGCTTCAGCAGAGGCGTGATGACACACACGTCAGGTCATTCATGAATCATGTGCAACTTTATGCTTGCACAAGGTTTGACAGTTTCCAGAGTGTGATGAACTTTTTAGAGATCTGAGAACTTATGTGCTACCGGTAGATAAACATATGCGCCGAATAATAGCAGGAAGTTGGCCGGCGCCGCGGCTCAGTAGGCTAATCCTCCGCCTTGCGGCGCGGGCACACCAGGTTCTAGTCCCGGTCGGGGCGCCGGATTCTGTCCCGGTTGCCCCTCTTCCAGGCCAGCTCTCTGCTGTGGCCAGGGAGTGCAGTGGAGGATGGCCCAGGTGCTTGGGCCCTGTACCCCATGAGAGACCAGGAGAAGCACCTGGCTCCTGCCATCGGATCAGTGCAGTGCGCTGGCTGCAGCGGCCATTGGAGGGTGAACCAACGGCAAAGGAAGACCTTTCTCTCTGTCTCTCTCTCTCACTGTCCACTCTGCCTGTAAAAAAAAAAAAAAGGCAGGAAGTTCATGGAGCACGCAGGCGCGCGTGGGGTTGTGGAGCCGGGAGAAAGCGCTGAGTACCTCACTTGGCTGCGGCCACAGCGGAGAGGAAGCCCAGGGTGGCGGAAGGAAGCCGGCATCGGGTGGGGTGGGGGTCACAGGACCCTGAGGTTCCACTGCCGCTTGGGAAAGTGACGATTTTTTTTAAAGACTTATTTACTTATTTGAGAGGCAGTGGGGCGGGGGACAGAGAGGGAGAGAGAGGACATGATTTTCCATCCCCCAATTGATTCACTCCCCACATGCCTTCAGAGCTGGCGGGCTGGGCCAGGCTGAAGCCAGGAGCCAGGAACTCCATGGTCTCCCGCGTGAGTGACAGGGACCCAGCCACCTGTGCCATCATCTCCTGCTTCCCAGGTGCACTGGCAGGAAGTGGGACCGGAAGCAGATGAGCTGGGGGCTCAAGGCTCTAGGATGTGGGCTGCCAGTGTCGCGAGAGGTGGCTTACACTGCTGCGCCACAATGCTGACTCCTCGGCCAAGTCTGAGTCCATCTGCAGGACAGTGCCTCCCAGGCTGTGTGCGGACAAGCTCACGGAGTGCCGCGGCCGGCGTCGGTTCCTGAGGTCCTGGGGGAGGCTGGGCCCCTTCCTAGGACCCTGACCAGGGCATGTGGGCTCTTGCTCCCTGTCACCAACTCCCAGGCCCCTGGCTGTGTGGGTCCCAGGAGCACAGCAGGCACACGGCTCCCTCCTCCTCCCAAGCCCAGTCCGAGACCCTCCCCTTAGGAGGGCGGGGGGGGGGGCTACCGCCCCCCCCCCGCAGCCTGGCTAGCACTGGGGAAGTCGTCACTAGCTCCCTCCGCCCACCTGTGCAGACCCAAGGCGTCTGTGCATCCCCAGCCCCCAGGTGGCCGCCCGCAGGCCTCAGTGAGTGCGTGAGCAGGAGGCAGAGGCGGGGAAAGTGCCTGAACGCACGCCAGGGTGCGGGAGCGGACGCGGGAGCGAGCCAGGTGGGATCGAATGAATGGGAGAACGGCAGTGCAGGAGCAGGCGGCGGGTGAGCGCCGGGGCTGCGCCCCCCAGCAAACACCCGGGGTCCAGAGGCTCGGAGCGCGGCACCGCCTGCGCCGTGGCCACGTGGCCGGGCAGGCTGGGCAGGGGCGGGGCTCGCCTGGACGTGGGCTTGGCCCGGCCGCGTGAGGCGCGTGGCGGGCCGGCCAGGGGCGGGGCTCGCCTGGACGTGGGCGTGGCCAGGCCGCGTGAGGAGCGTGGCGGGCCAGCCAGGGGCGGGGCTCGCCTGGGTGTGGGCGTGGCCAGGCCGCGTGAGGCTCGTGGCGGGCCGGTCAGGGGCGGAGCTCGCCTGGGTGTGGGCGTGGCCAGGCCGCGTGAGGCTCGTGGCGGGCCGGTCAGGGGCGGGGCAGGGCCCAGGGTGGGCGTGGCTCGGCCTTGCGGAGCCCAGGGAAGGGGCGTGGTTGGGCAGCTGGGTAGGCGTGGCGTGGCGGGGCATGGGCGGGGCGAGGCCGGGCGGGCGCGGGAGGAAGTCACGTGTGCACACGGGCTCACATGACTGGCGGCGCGATGGACCCGCTGCCCGCGGCGCCAGTCGGGGCGGCAGCTGAGGCGGAGGCTGACGAGGAGGCGGATCCCCCGGCGGCAGGTACGGCGCGCGGCGGCTCTGCCCGGGTCCCCCGGCCTTGGCGTGCGGCCCGCACCCCTCTCCCGCGGGGGTCGCCATGCCTGTGGCGTTTCTGGCAGCGCCCGGGCCGCGCGGGCGCCGGGTCAGGGGCCACCTGTGTGGCTGCGCCCGCTGGTGCTCGCGCGCCCCGCGTCCCCGACACCCGGGGCGGGCGGCGTGGACACGGCCACAGCCGCGCGCGTGGTTCCTCCGGCGGCGGCGGCGGGGCGTGCCCGCGTGGCCAGCGCGTGAGGGGGGCGCGGACCGCGTGGGGGCGGCGGGGCCGCGCCGGTGCCGGCGCTCGGGCGACTCGGGGGGCCGCAGGGGAGTGGCGGCGGGACACCCGGGGGAGTGTCCGGCGGGGCGGGCTCGCGGAGCCGCTGCGCGGTGGCCTCTCCGTGCGGCGTGCGGCGGGGCGGGGGTCCGAACGTTGTGTTCCGGAGGTCACATGTGGGAGCCGCTGGCCACCCCTGGCCCCCGGCCGGGCCTCTGGAGCGGTGGGGTGCGTTTGCGGGGTGACCGACAGCGGCCGGGGCTCTGATCTTCGGGGAGCTGCCCCGCCTTTGACCTCACCTGGCGCTCCTGCAGGTGGCTGGGCCGACTTGGGGACGCTGGTGACTTGTGTCCGGCGTGCCCGTGACGTCCGCCGGCGTGGGGGCCCCCGCAGAGGGAGGGTTTGCGGACCCCTGGGACGCGGCCTGTCGCGTCGTGGCCGGCCGGAGACCGAACCCGGGCGGCAGGTGCCTGCGCGGGCCGTGCGCCGGAGAGCGTGCGTGCCGGGCGGGCTGGATTCGGGCAGAGCGCGCCGGCGTCTGCTGGAGTAGCCGGCCTGCTCCCAGGAGCGCGCCGGTTGCCAGCTCCCTGACGTGGGCCAGAGTCCACCGGAAGTGTTCCGGGGGCCGGGCGGGACCCGGGGTCCCTTTCTTTTTGGTGCCTGTGGGGTTGCCATGAAGGAGGGCGCTCCTGGGGCTTGGGGGTGGGTCTGGGAGTTTGCTGGGGCAGCGAGGCACCGTGAAGTCCCTGCAGGGTCACCCGCTGTCCGGGACGCGCTGTCTGGACCAACATCTGAACGTGGGGCGGGGTTAAGCTCCAGGCTGACCCCGCTTGCAGCCCCCTCCTCCTGCCGCAGGCGCCCGCGGTTAGCAGCTTGGCCTGGGTCTGTTTTCAGTGCGGTGCGCGCCTGTGCGTGCGTGTGGGCCTGCTGGCGCTCTCCCGCCTGCACTTCCACGGGGTCAGTTTTCTATCGCTGCCTAAACAATAGGACGTTATCGCCTTGTGGTTCTGGGGGCCTGTGGGCCAGAACCGAGGTGTCAGCAGGACTGGTTCCTCCTGGCCTTCCCAGGCCCTGACACTTCCTGAGATCCTTGGCCCGCAGCCCCGCGCCGCCCGGGCACTGCTGGGCGGGACCTCTTGCTGCCTTGCTCTGGGTCTCCTCTCGGTTTAAACGCTTCACACGGAAAACGAAAACAAAATAACTGTTGCAGATAATGGCAGGTAGCGCTCTCGCTTTTTATAAGATTTCTTTTTTTAAGATTTATTTATTTATTTGAAAGTCAGAGTTACGGGGAGGGACCCTCCATCCGCTGGTTCACTCCCCAATTGGCCATAGCGGCCAGAGCTGTGCCGATCCAAAGCCAGGAGCCAGGAGTTTCTTCCAGGTCTCCCATGCGGGTGCAGTGGCCCAGGCACCTAGGTCATCTTCCACTGCTTTCCCAGGCCACAGCAGAGAGCTGGATGGGAAGTGGAGCAGCTGGGACTCAAACTCGGCACCCACATGGGATGCAGGCACTGCAGGCGGCAGCTTTGCCTCTATGCCACAGCGCCGGCTCTGCACTCTGGCTTTTTAAAAAAGACTTATTCAGGGCCGGCGCCGCGGCTCAATAGGCTAATCCTCTGCCTAGCGGCGCCGGCACACCGGGTTCTAGTCCCGGTCGGGGCGCCGGATTCTGTCCCGGTTGCCCCTCTTCCAGGCCAGCCCTCTGCTGTGGCCAGGGAGTGCAGTGGAGGATGGCCCAGGTGCTTGGGCCCTGCACCCCATGGGAGACCAGGAAAAGCACCTGGCTCCTGGCTCCTGCCATCGGATCAGCGCGGTGCGCCGGCCGCAGCGCGCCGGCCGCGGCGGCCATTGGAGGGTGAACCAACGGCAAAGGAAGACCTTTCTCTCTGTCTCTCTCTCTCTCACTGTCCACTCTGCCTGTCAAAAAAAAAAAAAAAAAAAAAAAAAGACTTATTCGGCCGGCGCCGCGGCTCACTAGGCTAATCCTCCGCCTTGCGGCGCCAGCACACGGGGTTCTAGTCCCGGTCAGGGCGCCGGATTCTGTCCCGGTTGCCCCTCTTCCAGGCCAGCTCTCTGCTGTGGCCAGGGAGTGCAGTGGAGGATGGCCCAGACTTGGGCCCTGCACCCCATGGGAGACCAGGATAAGTACCTGGCTCCTGCCATCGGATCAGCAAGGTGCGCCGGCCACAGCGCGCCGGCTACGACGGCCATTGGAGGGTGAACCAACGGCAAAAGGAAGACCTTTCTCTCTGTCTCTCTCTCAGAGAAGGAGGGAGCTCTCACCCTCTGGTTCGCTCCCCACATGGCTGCGACAGCCAGGTCTGGGCCAGGCGGAAGCCAGGATCTTCCATGCAGGTCTCCCCCGTGGGTCAGGGGCCATCCCCTGCTGGCTCCCAGGTGCCTGAGCAGGGAGCAGGGCTCTCACCTGGGCACTCCCATAGGGGGTGTGGGTGTCCCAGGTGGTCGCGCACTCCGGGGCTGGTCCTGCGGCTTCACCGCCGAGTGCCCACCCGGGCTGTCCACAGTCTTTTCATGTGGGGTTGTCTTTTGTCTTACTGCTTAATAGCAGTGTTTTTTCTTTATATGCATTTGCGATTCTAAGCCTTTGTGAATTAAAAATCAAAATTATTGTTTAATATATTTTAGAGGGAGGGGGAGGAAGGGAGAAAGGAGAGGAGAGCAGAGAGACAGAGAGAGATTTCTCAGCCGCTGCTCCACTGTCCAGATGCGCACAACAGCCTGGGCTGGGCCAGGCTGGGGCCAGGAGGATCGGGGACTCAGTCCAGGTCCCACGTGGATGGCAGGGACCCAAGTCCTCCACCTCCTGTGGTGCACAGCAGGAGGCAGCTGGACTCGAGCTGCAGTGTGGGAAGTGGGTGTCCCCAGTGGTGTCTTACCTGTTGGGCCACACGCTGCCCCTCCCCCCACCGACGGCTGTGGAATTTGTGTTGATTGTGGCTATCTGATGGCCTAGGACATCCTTCCCCTGGCTGTGCAGGATACAAACTCATGTTAGTACCTGACCAGCTCAGTGATTGTGACCTCGGAAAAGAATGGCAGGGGCCGGCGCGGCTTCGGTAAAGTCACCGCCTGCAGCGCCAGCATCCTATATGGGCGCCGGCGGCTCCACTTCCCATCCAGCTCTCTGCTGTGGCCTGGGAGAGCAGTGGAGGACGGCCCAGGTCCTTGGGGCCCTGCACCCATGGGGGAGACCTGGAAGAGGCTCCTGGCTCCTGGCTCCGGGTGGGTCCAGCCCTGGCCGTTGTGGCCATTTGGGGAGTGAACCAGCAGATGAAAGATGGACCTCTCTCCCTGCCTCTACCTCTCTGTAACTCTGCCTTCCAAATAAAGTCTATAAAAAAAAGAAAAAAAGGAAAAGAAAAAGAATGGCAGAAATGCTTTGGTTTTTATGAGTGTACAATACACAGAAACACACCCACGCACCCCACTGTGTGTCAGGGCCTGCCCCGTGTCCTGTGCACACACACACACACCCCACCGTGTGTCAAGGCCTGCCCCGTGTCCTGTGAGCACACACGCAGCCCAACTGTGTGTCAGGGCCTGCCCCATGTCCTGTGCGCACACATGCAGCCCCACTGTGTGTCAGGCCCTGCCCCGTGTCCTGTGAGCACACACACCCCCCACTGTGTGTCAGGCCCTGCCCCGTGTCCTGTGCGCACACACGCAGCCCCACTGTGTGTCAGGCCCTGCCCCGTGTCCTGTGTGCACACACACACCCCACTGTGTGTCAGGGCCTGCCCCGTGTCCTGTGTGCACACACACACCCCACTGTGTGTCAGGCCCTGCCCCGTGTCCTGTGCGCACACACACACCCCACTGTGTGTCAGGGCCTGCCCCGTGTCCTGTGCGCACACATGCAGCCCCACTGTGTGTCAGGGCCTGCCCCGTGTCCTGTGTGCACACACACACCCCACTGTGTGTCAGGGCCTGCCTTGTGTCCTGTGTGCACACACACCCCACTGTGTGTCAGGCACTGCCCTGTGTCCTGTGTGCACACACGCACCCCACTGTGTGTCAGGCCTGCCCCGTGTCCTGTGAGCACACACACACCCCACTGTGTGTCAGGGCCTGCCCCGTGTCCTGTGAGCACACACGCACCCCCCTGTGTGTCAGGCCTGCCCCGTGTCCTGTGAGCACACACACACCCCACTGTGTGTCAGGGCCTGCCCCGTGTCCTGTGAGCACACACGCACCCCCCTGTGTGTCAGGCCCTGCCCCGTGTCCTGTGTGCACACACGCACCCCCCTGTGTGTCAGGCCCTGCCCCGTGTCCTGTGCGCACACACGCACCCCACTGTGTGTCAGGCCTGCCCCGTGTCCTGTGAGCACACACACACCCCACTGTGTGTCAGGGCCTGCCCCGTGTCCTGTGTGCACACACGCAGCCCCACTGTGTGTCAGGCCCTGCCCCGTGTCCTGTGCGCACACACGCACCCCCCTGTGTGTCAGGCCCTGCCCCGTGTCCTGTGTGCACACACGCACCCCCCTGTGTGTCAGGCCTGCCCCGTGTCCTGTGCGCACACACGCACCCCCCTGTGTGTCAGGCACTGCCCCGTGTCCTGTGTGCACACACGCACCCCCCTGTGTGTCAGGCCTGCCCCGTGTCCTGTGCGCACACACGCACCCCCCTGTGTGTCAGGCACTGCCCTGTGTCCTGTGAGCACACACGCACCCCCCTGTGTGTC